TATTGGATACGCAAGAAGTGGGAAATACAAAATGCAAATAATTCGAGTGGCGCCTCTCTCTTCCTCCTATGCACTTTGTATCGATAACAAAAGGATAAAAGGTCGCTGTCTATACCTTTTATTTTGAATTATTTATACAGTACCATATTCACATATTCAACGTGTGCCCCATACGTATCGATGCAAACTTGCATCAGCAAATTAAAATTAAAAAGATTTGCGTTGTATAATAAAAGAGGATTATTTTTTATCCATCCTAATTATTCATTGTAATAATATGTAATATGATTTAAATTTAATTTTTTTCCGTATAATATCAATTGTTTAGGCATTGAAAAAGAATCCCCAGTCAAAATTGGGAGAATTGGCGGATAAAATGCACTAAAAATGGATATATGGTCATGTCGCCACTCATCTTTAGAAGTGGTGGATTAAGGGACAAGTGGCCATGGAATTTAACCTAATATTTTTTGTCATGTTATCTTGACAGCTTGGCTCGGCCCCTACTTCTTCCTAGTTTATATATGTTTGGCAATGGCATGGGATTTAACAAAGCTGCATTTTAGTATTTGTTGATGTTGTCCTTGAGTTTTTGGATTTGTTCTGGTACGAACTAAATTAACTAAACCCACTAATTAATGTTGGGGAAATGCATGAATTTACTTTAAATCCAATGATTAACGTAACATGTTCTGATTTTGTCATTCTCGATTCGTTTATATTAAAAAATTATTTTTCACATCTACTTGCACGAAAAAAATGCATAAATGTTGTGAAATTATTTAGATAATTTTAATAAATCTTGCTTACTTGTTAATTTGTTAAGAATATTTACTTAGTTTGATAAATATATTTATTTTAACAAATCGACTTAAAAAAATGTTTAACTTAACTGTTTAGATGGAATAGATAGTTAATATTTGATGATTAATAATTATTATTTTTTATAAATTAAAATGTCTTATATATGAGATTAGAATTAGAATGAAAAGCAGACAGTTGTGTAAAACACCCATAAAAGGTTAAATAGTCAAATTGATCCCTCTACTTTTATTTTTGAATCAAATCTATCCTTCAACTTTGAAAAGTATCAAAAATATCTTCAAACTTCAATTTTTGGAATCATAACCATCCTTCTGCCAACGGAAGTAACATGTAGTTGTTAAGTTCTTAAAAAATCATACACTTTTTAATGGCGTGTAAAAAAACGTATTTTTTTTAATGATGTGGCATATTTTTTTCTCTTCCATGTTACATTATTATAATTTAATAGTTCCCAATCAATCATTTTAATTAGTTTATACATAAAAAACATTTAAAATTACTTAAATGCCCCCTGTTCATCCTCCAACCCCTCTTTCACTATTGAAAACAAAGTATATTCGGCAAAAAAATCTATCGAATATAGAAGGATTTCTGTCGATTATGTCTTAATTGACAAACATAATCGACAGCCAAGTGTGTCGTATAAAATGCAGTCGATAATGAGTATATTCGACAGAAATTTTGGCTATCGAATATACCAATTTAATCGACAGATATTAGTTGTCGAATATATTCATTATCGACAGAATTTCGTTGATGATAAAGATTTTTTAATTTTTATAGGTTATATTCGACAACCATGAGTTGTCAATTAAAGTTATATAATCGACAACTAATAGCTGTCGAATATGTTTTTTTTTTTTTTTGGAAATTATATTCGACAGCCTATTGCTATCGAATATGTCTTTTTTTTTTTTTTACGATACCATATTCGATATGCTGTCGAATGTACTTGGCAGAAAAATAAAAAAAATTGAAAAATCAACAAAATCCAAAATTAATCTTATATTATTTTTTGTTATTTTTATATAAAAAATCAATTAAACGAACACAATTATCAAGGTTCTTAACAATATATTTATGAAACAATTTTAACAATAATATAAAAAGTAATAGATAATCATAAATAAAATTAAAATGAGCATTAACCTTAATTATTTTAAAATAAGTTCTTGTTCTTGCCAAAAATAACAAAAAAAATGTATATCAAGTAATAAGAATTTCAAAAAGAAAAGAAGATAAAAAGTAAAAATCACAAAATTTACCTCACATTACTTCATAATCAATGTATAAAAATTTGAAAAAAAAAAGAACTATTAGTATATTAAATAATAAGAATTCAACAAAAAAGAGAGAAGAGTGAAAAGAAAGAAGATGATTAAAGGTAATTTATGAAAATATAAAGAGGAGAATGTAAAAGAAGAAAGAAAAAAGAAAATAAAAGGAGAAGAAGCTTAAAGAGAGATGTTATCTGCAGAAAAAAGGAGAAGCAGAAGGAGAAGGGAAGAGGCAAGAAGATGAAAATTAGAAGACAATGGGATGTTCTGATGCCGGAGTGGTATTTATATGTCAAACATATTTGATAGAAATCTGTCAAATATATTTAAAATTTGAGTAACCGAAAAATTCAATTTTTTTGTTGGGAAGGCGCGGGGCGACGTTATATTCGACAGCCAAATCAACTGTTGAATATAGGTATATTCGACTGCCATTGATTGTCAAATATAGTCACAGTTTTTTTTTCCTTTTTAATTTTTTTTTTGGCCTGGAAATTCAAATTTTTTCTGGGAAATTCAAAATTTTTTTTTTTGTTGGGAAGGCAGGGGGTGGGGTTATATTACATTTTTTTTCTTTTTTAATTTATTTTTTTTTTGCTGGGAAATTCAATTTCTTTTTTTGCTAGGAAGGTGGGGGGTGGGGTATATGGCTGTCGAATATAGTTACAGTTTTTTTTTAATTTATTTTTTATTTTTTAATCCTTATATTTAAACAAATATACTATCTTTTTAAACTAATTGACAATTTGATTTATCTAATTATTTCTTTTTTGTTGAATTTTTTTTTGGTTTGTCTTTTGAGTTTTTTTTTTATTAATTTTCTTGTAAAATTTTTGGTTTTAAAAGTAATAAGAATCAATTTTTTTTGAGCTAATAATTAATTCTAAAAATTCTAGTTTAGATAAAGATATATATATGCTATTGCTTTGCGAAATATTATATTGTAATTATTTTCTTTTACTATAGGATTGTTAAATTTTATTAATATTATATATTTTACTTATTTAAACTCAAATACTACATAACTAAAAACTAGTTTAAGTTAATAAATATATATAGTAACTTCTCATCCTACACACCATATATATACATATGCAGTACATATGTACAAACATATATAATATAAGTTTCAAATATCAATGTCTCTAAGTAGGAGGTGGCAAGTGATCAGGTCTAAATCCTCCAAAAGAAGGATCGATAGTCTGGGGTGGTGTAGAAGAAGGATAACCAGTCTGGGGTTGTGTAGCATTCATAGAATATTGCTAGCTAAGTAAGCGCATGTGCTCTTGTAATCTCCTCTCAAATTTGGCCTCCATCTCTGATACTCTCTGTGATACCTCTGTATGAATAAGTGTGGCCGCCTTTGTCTGAACTCGCTCAGCCATTTCTTCTCGAACTTGAGTAAGCTCAAACTGCAACTGTTGGACCTATGTCATAAGAATCCTGGTGGTAGAAGAGGAGGCATCACTCATGTCATATCGTCGCCAAGGGATGCCATGCTCTAAGGGATGCCATGCTCTGTTGGATCCTGTAATGTAGACATCCCTCTCATCTGACCCTTTTTAGGAGGTCCAACCACCTCCTTCTAGATAAGTGGATCCCATTCTGGCCACGAATCCTTGTTTGGCCCATGCTTCTCCACATATTTTTGGTGAGCATCGTTCTGTTTCAAAAATAAAATTTTCATTAGTTAGCAATTTCAAATGATAATGGGAAATCAAATGAAAAATAATCATTTACTAAATACAATGGATAAAAAATTGTATCACTTTTTTTCTTTTGGGGCAATATGACATTAAAAATAAATAAAATTAATATCATAAAAGAATCAGATTCTTACATATGTCTGCTCAGCTTGTGGACAAATCTAAGTGGATGGGGCATCTTTTGGAGCATCAGGTTGGCGAGTCGTGTGAGTCAACAAGTATGATTCTAAAGGTGTCGGCCTAACTCCTCCTCTTTTAGCTGCCTAGTAAAACATCAATAAAATCAATAAAATTTTCATTTTAATGGTAGACAAAAATAATTTATATATGTATATATATAAGTATATCCTATTAACCAGTCGATCCTCATGCATCCCAATAGAAAGGCATCCAGTTGTGTGGCTTACACGGTCACCCTTTGCTCGGTTTTGCCGACCTCTTTCTTGGAGTGCAATATATTTTGGACTCCTCCATTTTGCCAACAAAATTTTAAAGGTATCCTTATGCATGAACTCGGACAACTTCTTGTCCTTGACCCACACCTTTCGAGCTCGATGAAGATCGTCTCAGAAACGGTTCGACAATGTATCTCTAAATCTTATACACACGAGCATCATCTTCTTCCCAATAATATGTCTTTTGCAATGAAAAAAAAAATAAATGTTAATAATTTATTTTATTTTTCTTAAAAAAAGAGCAAAGTTTTGCTTAAATTGTCATTTTTTTCACTATTAATAAATAAAATATAAAAAATCATATAAAATATACCTTGTACTTCCATATCAAATGCCATAAAATAAAATGATAGCATCTAAATAAATTCTCAAAAAATATTTCATTTTATTCTATAATTTTCATACTTGAAAATTCTCCCAAGCAACCCTCTTCTTTTCCTCAGGCCAACTAAACCAAAAAAGCACTGGCTCATTATACAAGTACTTCCAAATTACTGTGGTAGTCCTCCCAAACCTCATGGCTGAATGTGCCTCGACAATTAAGGCTAAGCACCTTCCTTTGATTCGGGTCTGCAGGAGTGTCATCTCCTTTATCCATGCCACGTCTTGTCTTCGGGACAACACGTGATAGCTCCTCCTCCAGTTGAGCATCTAACTCAGGATCAAGCACAGCAAACTTAGCATCCAACTCAGCCTCCAAATTACGCTCTTTAGTGTCCTCCTCCATTGTTGCATCATCACCAGTGTACTGGTCATTGTCCAATGGTGGCTGAGTAACAGTGGGTCGCTCCTGCTGCAGCTGTGTGGGAAGTTGAGTCAAACTGGAAAGCTGCTGCTGTGCGGGAGGCTGGCTTAAGCTGGGCAGCTGCTGCTGTGTAGGAATAGCCCTACAAGGCCCCCGAATAAGACGATGAAGTGGCCTCTGTGGTTCTCCCTCTGGATCATCCTGCTGTCTAGAAGAAGAAGCACCTTGCGTACCTCGTCTCATATATGTATACAAAAAATAATGGAAACACATCAACTTCCTTTTCATGAAGAAAAGCAAAAATTTTAAAGAATAAAAAAAAACCAGAATATAAAAATATTCAATTAATAACTTTCAGATTAGATAAAGATATAACAGTAACCAAACTCATTAAATAAGTTCAATAGTTTAATACAATATGAAAAAAAAATCATGCATTTGATTAAATGAGAATTTAAAAAATGAGAAAAAAATGAAAAATATAAATATCAATACACAACTAAATATATATAAATAACTATAAATATATGAAA